CTTTTCCACGACATTCTAATTTATTGAGATGCACCTGTAGATGTGCTATTAAAACATTTGAATACACATGACTCTGCAGTCATACAGTGGGATTATGTAGTAAAATAGGACATCTGAGCTGATTGAAAATGTATAAATCACTGCAAACTTCATAAGTAAAAATTGTCTTGTAACTTTCAACTTGCCCTTTTCCATTTCAGTATAGCCCTCAACAACATTATCAACCATCATAGTGACAATGATACATCAGTACCTGGCTTTAACACATCAACACGCACTTCCATCAGTTTCTCTCGTCCAGAGTAGTCGCTGTAGTCTTGAGTGCAAATTTGAACACATAAGTGTCCTGCTTTTCGAATGGCCAAAAATCCTTTTCCTAAAGTTATGGCCACCGCTGACCCTGAAATTGCAGGAGAAAGTAAAAAATAAAATCCACAATGCATACAATCCATTTTTCACATGGAATATAGACAAAATAATTTAAGTTTATACATTTCATTGAGTCAGGCTTTAGAGATAGTCCCTAAGTTTATACCCCACTCTATATTTAGCCTGTTTGCAGAGGTGTTATATATACTGCAACATGTGAACTGAGCTACAAATACTCTCTTGAGTTCAGACGGTCTTGCTCCACACCAGCTACAAAAGAGAAAGTTTTATACCGAGGATGAAGCCCATGGCATCTATTCCAGCCACCAGGTCAATGGTCTCATTCTGGAATGGTTTGAGAAGATCTTTTACGCAATCTGACAGTGCCTGGATCAGTCAAGGGTGACAGAAAACAGTGAGCAGAGACTACAAACTAGAAAACCCATGGCAGTCAAACACATTCTAACACACTCTCTATTATTCAGACATTGTAGACACAGGTTATTTAAAAACGTATTGGGTCAAGTTTAACTTGCAAAAAGGGTGATTGTTTACCTGTGAATTGCAATAGAGCCTTGATGGATCAAGCCATGCAAACTTTGGACCCTTTGTGTTTGGTGCCATAAGAGACAAGTACCAGCCCTCTTCTCTCTTTTGGGGAACTGCTAAGACATCCATTCTGGAAAGACCGTTAGACTTCTGAAAACTCACCCCGGTAACGGCGTGTATTTGGTGTCAAGTTCATGTAGTGTAAAGTGGGCGTTTTCATGTCTCTCCCAGAGTAATCGCTTAACCATTAGCCACAAACCAGAGCTCTGGAGGCTTTTTGCGTTTACTCAGTTACTGTGTCACTGTTAAACACAAGCATTTTTTTGTAAGGGAACTTTTAAAGGGATATCCTAATGCGAACAAAACTGTAAATGTTATTAATTTTGATAATGCACAACAACGCACTTATAGCCTACTCCGTTATATTTGTATGAACTGAAGTAGCCTAGTTCCAGGGATGACAAAAAGATTCTAAAAAGTTTTATGTTCGATTGTCTGCACCACTCGTCAGGTTTGAGATAGCCAGTCAAATCAAAGAAGCGGGCTGAGCTGTCTTTGGCAGCAACTATGTTCTGCGAGATGTTTTTTTAGAAAGACA